AACTTGGGCATATTTACAGAAATATGCATTGTCCCTGCCAAATAAATAAACAAACAAAACAAAACTACCTGTCAAAGCAGGCATCAACATTATGGAGCCAACATTATCTTGTTGGCTCCATCAAACCAGGACCTCCAGCATGCACTGGGGCGGTTTGCAGCAAAGTGTGAAGTGGCTGGGATGAGAATCAGCACCTCCAAGTCCGAGGCCATGGTTCTCAGTTGGAAAAGGGTGGCTTGTTCCCTTCAGGTTGGTGGAGAGTTCCTGCCTCAAGTGGAGGAGTTCAAGTATCTTGGGGTCTTGTTCACGAGTGAGGGAAGGGAGAAACGGGAGATTGACAGACGGATTGGTGCAGCTTCTGCAGTAATGCAGACGATGTGCCGGTCTGTCGTGGTGAAGCTCTCGATTTACTGGTCGATCTACGTTCCGACTCTCACCTATGGTCATGACCCAAAGCTCATGACCGAAAGGGCAAGATCCCAGATACAGGCGGCTGAAATGAGCTTCCTCCGCAGGGTGGCCGGGCGCACCCTTAGAGATAGAGTGAGGAGCTTGGTCACCTGGGAGGAGCTCAGAATTGAACCGCTGCTCCTCCACATTGAGAGGAGCCAGCTGAGGTGGCTTGGCCATCCGTTTCGGATGCCTCCTGGGCGCCTTCCTAGGGAGGTGTTCCGGGCATGTCCCACTGGGAGGAGGCCCCGGGGAAGACCCAGGACACGCTGGAGGGACTATGTCTCTCGGCTGGCCCGGGAACGCCTTGGCATTCCCCCGGAGGAGCTGGAGGAAGTGTCTGGAGAGAGGGAAGTCTGGGCATCTTTGCTTAGACTGCTGCCCCCGCGACCCGGTTCCAGATAAGCAGAGGAAAATGGATGGATGGATGGATGGATGGAAGAACTAAGAAAAAAAGGAAAATAAAACTACAACTGCACTGCAGCTGGATGTTATATACTGAGATTTTCCAGTGAGATTGTCCAACAATTAATTGACAGACAGAAATTTGTTCCTTTCTGCCTGTGTGGTGTTATCATACCAGACTGTGATGCCAGAGGTGAGGATGCTCTCTATCAGTCCTTTATAAGCCTGGTTTAGCCCAGGTTTTCTGAGCCGCCTGATGAAGTATAGCCGCTGCTGGGCTTTCTTCACTGTGGCAGCTGTGTTCAGTGACCAGCTAAGGTCAGATGTCACCTGCAGGCCCAGGAACTTGTGGCTGTCAGCCCTCTCCACCTCAGTCCCTTTGATGGTCAGAGGCAGCAGAGGGGAGGGGTTCTTCCTAAAGTCTACTATTATTTCTTTTGTCTTGTTTATGTTGAGGATGAAGTCATTCTCATCTCCATAAACAAGAATATTGTTCACCAAGCTTCTGCAACCTTACTCGTCTCCCCCCCTTGATGAGACCCAGAATAGTGTTGTCATCAGCATATTTAATGATGATTGTGTTGTCATGGTTGGAGACACAGTGGTGGGTGTACAGGGTGAAGAGTTTGGGGCTGAGACAGCAGCCCTGCGATGAGTCTGTGCTGATTGTGAGCTCAGCAGACACCCACCCTCCCATTCTAACCACCTGTGGTCTTTCAGTCAGGAAGTCCAGAATCCAGTTACAAGTGGGAAATGGGACACCGAGGTCTGTCATCTTCCCAATCAGCCTGCCTGGGTGAATGGTGTTGAATGCAGAACTGTAATCCAGGAATAGCAACCTAACCTACTTACTGCTGTTGTCCAGGTGTTTCAGGGTATGGAATAAAGCCAGAGCCATCTTATTTTCCACTGATCTGTTGGGGCGGTAGGCAAACTGGAGGGAGTCTACAGTGTCCGGGACCAAGTGGTTAACGTGTCTGAGGACCAGTTTCTCTAAGATGCCCAAAACACCTCAACTTTCAATGTGAAGGAGCAGCAGTTCTACTCCAAGTCCATTCAGGTTATCTGAGCTCTGCACCCCATCTTTAAGGGTAAGTCAGGCCGCCCTACAAAGGAAACTCATTTTGGCCACTTGTATTGATGACGTTACCGTTGTTGTGTTTGCTGTAGACATTCTTGTTTTGATGTGACATCAAATCTGCTCAACCAATCACAATCAACAGCACCACCTCCAAACTTTGAAAATATTGTAATGACCCCCGGCGTAGAGAGCAGGGGACTAAGAGTT